ATATATATATATATTCCATTAATGAATTTTTTAATTCAGAGCCTAGTATACTACAGCAGTTATTATAGTGCCATTCCTATTCTGCCTTTGCATATTTTCATATTCCACATGTGCTATAAATAACATATTGGGGTTTAATAAAACACGATTTTCAATGTCTGCACATTTACTTATTTACAGTACATGTTATCGGTTCCTTGTGCATTTGAAGGACCAGTAGACCTAAAACAAAATGTTATGTTATGTGAAAGAGCTACTAATATCATTCATACATTGGCAGTAAGAATACCTGTACTTGCACAGAAAGTGATATTTTTAACATTTGTAACTTTGGTGTGCAGCCTGTTTAGCTGCCATTTAATGTGCACCCGTGTCCAGACCTTAGACCTTAAACTATTTACATACATGGGAACTTTTAAAAGTCAGTGAGCCTGAGATTGGGACTTACGTGCCACACCAAAAATGGAAGCATATTAGCGGTCCGGGGCAAATATGAGACGAACAGTGCAGTGGCCTAAAAGCTACTGACAAATATTCCTTGACAGGCCAACCCAGAGATTTTGACAGATCTGGTAATGACCCGGCAACATGAATGAAATTCCAGTATTGCCGGGGGAATTCCGGCAAGTTCCCAGGTATGACTATTCACCATCTAGCTGCTTGTACTATGACGTAATTAATTCTCAATAATCCTTAAACATCAAAGCAAAATACTCTAAAGTCAGGTCTCAGTCAGTTTTTAACTGCTTAGAAACACATGCTGTGTGTTTTACTTTAGATGGCTAGTTGGTTGCCAAGATTCTGCTGTAATAGAAAGTAAATAGGAAAGAGCTAAGAATTCAGAGCCTCTGTTGTGAATTTTGAAGATGAATTTCTCCACCATGTCAATAGACACAGAGCTAAATGAGTGCATGTTTTAATGTGCTTTTACTGCTCTTTCAAAATATGTAAATAGATCTGTTCATAGTCTAAGCACAAGTTCACTTTAATTACAAAAGAGTCGAAAACTTAAACTTTTAAATAGTTGCCCATGAATGCTGGGTTTTTTTTCAGATAAACCAGATTATAATTTATAACTAGTGACCCCCTACAGCTCTGGCAGTACCCATTTAATAATATCAGCCTTCATGTTTTTCTCATGACAAAAAACCTGAGGCACACCTAACAGACTTAGGAATAGTTTGTACCCGGCTATATATAATTAAAAAAGTGTATATTACAAATTTGAGCGTTTGTCATGGAAGGGAATTATTATATGAATTACTAAATATAATTTATAATGCAGTATAAATATAATTTTAGTATGTAGGCAGTATAGAATAAAATTTCATAGTGGCAGGATAAGATTATGGGGTCTATTCACAAAGCTGCCGAGGGCAGCCGAGTGAATGACCGATCAGAAGTGAAGTGAGCCGAACACTGTTCGTGTTGCTTCGTGTGGCTTCGAAACAGCTAGCTGTCAGAAGCAGGCTGTCGGCCGGCCAATGGCCGGCCGCTCGGCCAGCTTCGTCTTTCAGCACGGCTCAGCGCTCGACTGAGCCGCTCGGCCGTGATCGGGAGCTGTACGGGCTATTGTGAATAGCCGTACAGCACCCCCTCGGTTCTCCTGAACCGAAGGGGTCCCGGTGCCGAAGCTAGCCGAAGGATCGGCCGAAGCTACGGCCAGATCCTTCGGCAGCTTTGTGAATAGACCCCTATATTTCATGTCAGAGCTCCTGCTACTGGCAGGAAAGAGAAGTACATGTATTCTACATACACTTTAACCATAGTGAGCGTGTCACAGCAGTTTAGCGTATAGCAACATCTATTTTGGAAGAAGAGCACACAAGCAAAGCTCCAAAGTGGTTCACAATTGCATGGTACAGGAAGACAATAGGGATATAATGACATATGGTTTTTAATTTGCTGTGCTCTTTGTAATCCTTCTAGCCAGCATTTCTATATCTTCCCGTAATTATCTTACCATGGGTACTTAGGGTCTTGATAATTTAAAGTTATTGTCACGAAATGCTGGTATCCGAAACATATATTTTTCAAAGTGCTTGTTTGTTGCAGCTAATTACAGACGGGTCCAATGTAAAGTCATTTGTGTTTTATTTTGGAGAATAGCTGTTAGTCAGATGTATGACTATGTAGGGAAAATACACATTTACTTATTTTTTTATACGGAGATGGTGTGTTTGTCCTCCCATCACTAGTTCTCATAGTTCAAACAAATATGGTTTTATATGCTAGATTTATATCCTGGTGCAAAAATAATAAACGTCCCCTTAATGTTATTGTTGTAGTCTTTTATATATTCCAATTAAATATTAAAACAAAATCATCCGTTTATGTAAAAAAAAGAAATGTAAAAAGGTATTAAAACAAACTTTCTGTGAGATAAAATAAATCCCCTGACAGTACAGGTAAAGCAACTGTGCACATGAGCTTCCATTTGCATGATCCCAACACTTCATTATCACTCTTTAGAATTAGAGCACAACAAAAATTAGCATTGCCATATTTGCTGAGCATACATATTTATGCCATGAGCAGAGACCCCCTGTAATTGGCCTTAGGAAAAACCGCAATTAAATGGTGCAATGAAACCTGGCCAAAGCATTTGCATTGCTGAAATCAATAAGGCTGGGAGTATCTGCAACAGACATGCACTCTTATGTGTATGAGCATCTTAAAGTGGAACTGAAATTATAAATAAAGTTCCCCAAAATGCCACATGTCCCCCATTATAATCATATTGTGGTGAGGAGGGCAAGAGTGAACATTTCAGGTAACTTTTAGTTGCACTTTAACCTGTCTTCTCCTTCCCATACATACATGGGCTGGTGACATAAACTAATAGGGGGTACACAGCTTAAAAATAATACGCTTAAAGTGTATCTATAGATCATTTTTTGTTTTGTATAAAGTAGGCAAGGGTTTTTGCTGTCTGTATACCCTGTGTACCCTCGGTGACATTTTCATTTACTTCCTGTCCTAAAGACAAAGAGAAATGTAGTGTCTCTATTTGAAGGTTTTCTCTTACCCCTTATTATGGGGACAACTCTAAAATTTTTAGTTTTCCCTCACTTTCTTTCTTGGTGACAGTGTTCACCAGGACAAATAGAGGGGTAAATCTCCCCCCACGAATTTCAATTGCTTGTCTTACTTTTAAAATATATTTAACATTATTTTACATGAACATCTATTACATGTATATAAGCACGTATCTAAGACTTTAAAGGATAAGTACACCTATTGTTTTTGCCCCTTTACCATGATTTAACAGATCCCATCCTGTCTCTCCTCAGATGTATACTTACCGAGATCCAATGCCTACGGCCTCCTGTGTTTGTTGACATCCCGTATCACAGGTCCTCTCTCTCCTGGCCATGCCTGTGCAGTAGAGCCCCCTAGACTTTATGGGTTCATCTACCTCTGTCTCCTCATTGGGAGACAAACTCTATAGACTTCTATGGGACTGTACTGCACAGGCACAGCTAGGAGAGAGACTTACAATGTAGGACATCAACAAACCCAGGAAGCCATGAACATCAGATCATGGTAAGCATGCATTTGCGGAGAGGGAGGGTGTGATCTGTTAAGGTCAGGGGAAAGGGGAAAAAAAGAAGTGTACTTTGCGTGAAAGTGCACTTATTCTTCAATAAGGCTGAAGAGTATTATTTTATACAAAATAGTTTCATATGCACATTGCAGTATGAGCCAGCAGGGGGCACTTTTAGACAAATTATTGCGATAAGACTGTATTGTATTAACCTGAGCTGCTATCCAATCAGTATAACTCAGGCAGCATAGCTAATATTAACAGCTACAAGTTTAAGAGTATTCATTACGAATGCTTGAGTTTATTATGCATTTGTGTATGTAATTAAAAAAAGAACTCAAAGAAATTCACTAAGCTCTCTTTGCATTTAAACTGAATAATAACATAACCCTGGTGCAATTTCAGAAAGATGAGAAAAGAAAAATACAAATAACATACAGAATGAGAGGGGTGAAATAGG